AAAAAGAAATAATCCTGGTAACACCACAGCAGGCTCTGAGGTTTCCCAGTGAAATCTGCCCTGCTGGCCACTGCCCCTACCGGGAAGTCACCCCACCCCACCCCCTCACGAAAGCTGTCCTAGCTGCCTTCAAAGAGAGGCGCCCTTGGAGATGGTTCGCCTTTTCCTCTGAACGTGGTGCAACAGGTTTAATTTGTCCTAATGAGTGCCTTGGAGCATTCCTTATTGGGAATTACAAGCTAGACTTTTTAGTCATGGGAAAGCAAGAATTTCACAAGCTACTTACTTTCATAAATGGACCTAAACTCTTTTACTAAGTCTTTAACTCTTCTGTGAATTCTGCAATTAAGTAGGCCTTGGCCTTTTAGAAAGTCCCTTGGGACCCTGCCGGGGGCTGGGGCCAGAGAGAGCCTGCCGGGACACCAGGGTGGCGGTGCAGGAGCCTTACCCCGCCTTGCTGTCCAGGGAAGGATGCGGATCGCCTTGAATTAAGGAAATTAAAACATCATCCAAGAGCTTCTATTTCTTCCTTGAATTTTAAGAACTCACACTAGGCTCATGTCCTTCGTATTTGTCCCAGAGCAGTGGCGGGAGGACTCTGGCTCGTGTTGGTTTCCTCTGTGGCTCTCTACCAGCCCTACACCACTCTCGGGCAGCCATCACTGCCCCGGCTGGAGTTGAAGAAACCAGGCCTCCTGAGCCTGTCACACAGGAAGTGACAAAGTGGCAGCTAGGACTGGGTTCGTGGTCTCAGCAAAGCAGAATGGAGAGCGTGGCAGGGAGGTGAAGGCCCTTGCTGCCCACACACGTCCACGCGGGGCCAGGGGCACAGCACCCAGGTCCTGTGTGTTGGCTGCAGGCCCAGCCCGTCTCCATTCTGCATGTGCCAGCCTGGCCAGGGTGGGCACCCACCAGGCCGCACTGCCAGTGGGTGTCAAAAAAGCACAGGCTGTGTCTTCAGTGACTTAGAGTGCAGCTGCCTGTGGTGGTGGTGGGTGGGGACCTGTTAGGGAGACCAGGCCTTGGCCCCAGCGTCACCTCATGCCCACCGCCGGCCACACCACTGATGGGACTAGGGGGGCACAGTGAGCAGCCCAGGCTGGAGACAGTGACCTGCAGAGTGTGCCCAGGCTGCAGGCGGGGGCTGTACCCTGAGCACTGCCCACGGCGACAGGGACTGCAGGGGCCGCCGTATGGAGCGGCTGAGCAGAACTTGGCAGCTGCAGCAGTGCCCTGGACCATGGGGGACACAGGACGCCGCCAGGGCCGGGCAGAGGTTGCTCTGGGGAATGGGGATGGGGTGCACACACATGCACACGCTTCCTAGTCACACGCACATTTCCACACACATAGGCTCTCTCTGGCTCTGGGCTGCTCTTAGCTCCGGGGGCCCGCTGTCCCTCTGCAAAGGGGCAGCTCCTCAGCACTGAATACTTCAACTCTGGCATTCCAAAGTGTAAAATGAAAATAATACAGCCCTGTTCTGTTTGGGTCCAAATTCAGAGCTTTATTTAATCTGAATGAGTAATTATCAAAGGCACTGTGTTTATCTCAGCCCCTTCATGCTCAGGAGAGCTGGGATTTATCTTGTGAGTCTAAATGTCCCAGTTGTGGAAAATCTGTACCCTCTGAAATACTGCAGCTGTCGACGAAGCCCTGTGTCCCTTGCAGTCCATGTGGAAAGCCAGGCAGGATTACGTAGAGTAAAAGTCTTGCTTTTGTTTATTTAGTTTTTAAATTAAAAAAAGTGAAGCCAGGAGAGGAATTTTTAACCTGCACCTCATAGCAGAATGACCCTCATAGCAGCTTCCAAAGGGGAATCTAGCGCCACTCCGATGTCTCGGGAACCCAGGGAGGGAAGGTGCCACCCGCGCCGCGCGGCACGGAGTCACTTCGCTCCCAGGCGTTCTTGTGTGCTGAGTGCTGGTGCTGCCTGCTGCGTTAGGGTTAGAGGTCTTCAGGTGAAAAACGCACTTCACATTGTGTGCCGGTTCTGGAGACGGGAAGCCAAATGTAGCCGGGAGCTCAGCGTGTGGCTTCCTCAGAAGCAACTAGGAAGAGTCGCGGTGTTTCCCGAAGCTCGCAGCGGCCGAGCTTTTCCCAGCTCTCGTGCAGGTGTCTTCAGACACCGCGGGTCCTCACAGCTGAAGCCAGGGCGGGGGAGACCTGGGGGCCGGGCTTGCTGCCCCGCGCTGTGCATACTCTTTACAGAGTGCTCTATTGGAAATGACTGGCTGTGGAGCCGGACGGATTCCTGTTCAGACTTGAGAATAAAAAGCACATTCCCAAGCCAAACATAAGCTGCATGGATTTTTAAAATAGCCTCTCCAAAAGTGTTTACCAACAAAGTTTGGCAAATTTTCGAGTGAGTTTTAGCACACAGCTGCTCTTTAGCTTTAACACACATTGGTGTCCTAACGTTAGGACTCATTCTTTAAATTCAGACGGTTTCTAGTTTTGCCTGTTAAAAGAAGGGCCACTACCCAGAACCAACGTGGCGATCTTATAAAAATGAAGCAGGATCCATGTTACCTAGAGGCCTCCATCCACAGGCTCCATTGTACACGGAGTGCCTGGCCCAGCGCTCTGCCGCAAAGTGATCACGGTGTCCAAGCCTAGAAGGACCCAGGTGGGGACTCGCCCTGCCGCAGCCGTCTCGGGATTCTTAGTTACCCCTTAACAGGAACCTGCCTTTGCACTTCACCTTAGAGCCTGAAAATTAGGGAGCCAGGCTTTCCTAGGCCCATGACATGCTCTACCGTAATGGCCACAGTAACCGCAACCATTCTGTCTGTAACCAGACACTGGGAACCACTGCTGCCCCTGGGGATTGAACCCAGGACCAAGCACTTGCCAGGCAGGCGCTTATGCCACTGAGCTATCTCCCTGGCCCAATGCCCGTGTTCTGAACCATTCCTAACACAGCTCTGCTGGGAGGAAGGCTGGCAGGTCCCAGCTCCGCTTAACTCATTGCGTCTGCTGGCCTCTGACCTGGCCTGCCTCTCTGCCTCTCTGCCTCTCTGCCTCTCTGTCTCTGTGTCTCTGTCTCCGTCTCCCTCTCTCCCTCTCTCTCCCTCTCTCTCTCTCTGTCTCTGTCTCTCTCTGTCTGTCTGTCTCTCTCTCTCTGAACAGTTTATTTCTGTTGAATGCACTCTAGAAAAAAAGACAATGACTTGAATAAAGGTGAAGTAGCCTGCAGTGTTCGGGGTTCAATCCCCGGCGTGTTGTGCCGGCTTCACCCCCGGGGTGCACTGAGATGGTGATTGAGACTGGGATGGTGGTGCGTACCTGCAATCCCAGTGCTTGGGAGGCTGAAAACAGGCGGATCACTACAAGTCCGATCTAGTAGTGAGACCCTGAACACCCAGTATACCCTTCTCTAAAATACAGAAAACTTTTTAAAAATTAAAAAAAAAATAAAGTAGCCTAATAGTATATTTCCCTCTAGTGGAGCGAGGAATGTTGCCATTTATCCTTTAGAGACATGGCACTCGGGGGCCAGGCATGGTTGCTTATGCCTGCAGTCCCAGCACTCCAGCAGGCTGAGCAGGAGGGTGGCAAGTTAGAGCCCTGCTGAGGCAGTTAACCTAGGTATTGTTTCAGAATGCACAGAGAGAGAGAGAGAGAGAGAGAGAGAGAGAGAGAGAGAGAGAACACCAGGAAAGTATTTTGAGGACAGTGCCTGAGTTCAATCCCCAGAGTCACAAAGTCCTCCCGAGCTGGGGGGGCCTCTGTGTTTCTCTCACGGGCTGCTCATTCAGCAGCAGGGTAAGCGCCTGCCTGGCAAGTGCAGGGTCCTGAGTTTGATCCCCAGTACCAAAAAACAAACAAGGAAAAGAAGTCCTTCTCCCCCATCCACGGAAGCCTGGATCCAGGACCCCCAAGGGTATCAGAATCACAGATAGTGAAGACCCTTTCAGAGCAGTACATAGTATTTACACAAAACTAAAGCACAGCCTCCTGTCTGCTCTGTCCTCCAAGTCACTTGTAGTACCTGATGCAGAGTAAATGCTATATAAAGAGTTGCCACTCTGTATGTGTAGGGATTAATGACACAGCAGAGCGTGTGGTGGGGACAGAGCTCACGGCAGAGCACTCGCCTGGCATGTGCGTGTAAGGCCTTGGGTTCGAACCCAGCACCACCAAAAAAAAAAAAGTCTGAACATGTTTAGTATAGACATAGTTCTTTAAAATATATATTTTAATTCAAGGTCGATGGAATTCACAGCTCGGAGGGCCCTCAGCTGCTCTTTCTCCACCCCAAGGGGCTTTAGATGTGCTCCTTGTACACTCGCATGGAGTATGGTGCAGCCGTCCCACACATGAGCAGAACGCGTCGAGATCACACCAGAGGAGTCGTGCCGGCGCGTCCGTCGCCTTCAGCATCGATTCTTCTGTGTCTTGAACCTGCGAGCTCTCTGCGCCCCCACCCTTCCTTCCCTTTCTTGTTCTGTTGAGTCAGGCCTCACTATGTAACTCAGACTCTCCTGCTCCCAGGGGCAGGGGCGTGTGGGGGACAGCAGGACCAGAGTGGCGGGCTGGGCTCTGTGGGTGAGGACCTGGTGCTGGCTCCCACAGGGGTCAGTGGCTATGAGTATTCACATGCAAATTTTTCCATTCAATAGTCAGTGTTAGGGGCTGGGGAGATGGCTCAGTGGAATAAGTGCTTCCCTGGCAAGCACAAGGGCCTGAGTTCAATTTCCGGTACTGGGGGGGGGAACCTTTTGGGCCGGGGAGATAGCTTAGTAGAATAAGCTCTTGCCTGGCAAGCTCAGGGTCCTGAGTTCAATCCCAAGTACCGCCAAAAAAAAAAAAAAAAGATGGTTAACTTTAAAAGATATGGAATGTAAATGAAGATTTACTATATGGCCAAGCAATGGCCGTGACTCATCCACATGACTGACACTGACAAGGTTCTACAATCTGAGGTACAGGATCTCAGGATAAATCCTGAGGGGATTTCACTGACCTTATCAGACCCAAAAGCTACAACTCTTGTTGCATAGGTCCTGCTTTACCTTGGTCTTAACCATCCAGCAGAAAAGTATAAATCGAAGTATAAGAAGTAAAGCCATGCTGTTATGTTGAGCTGTAGGGGACTCAGGTCAACAATTTCTGACACTGCCAGTGAAGTGGAAGACCCAATACTATTATGGACTACTGGACTCTTTTAGAATATTTTGCTGAGTTTACACACCTATAATATTTAAATGATGGAACTTAACAAAAAAAGGGGATAGAGATGAATGTCCATTTTGTATCTGTGTTTCAAAGTGGTTAGGATAGATATATAGTTACCTTCTCTAAATGAATAGAGGGATGTGTTCTAATGGCATTTGTAAATAGGATATCAAGTCCGCATCTTGTACAGCAATTAACCACTAGGAAGAATGTATGCAATGTGTTAATTATTGAAACTGTCCTACCAATTTGGTTTGAAACTGTCTCATTGCTGTTTGTTTCTCAATAAAATTATGGGGGAAAAAAAGATTTACTATAATTCCTTAGTGCTGTTGCACTAGCATTTAGGAGTTTAAAGAATATTATAAAATATAAAAGGTACTTTGCTAGTATTTTTGGTTAACTTTATTGCCAAAATCAGTTTTCCAGTTTCTTTTCTTTAATTTTTAATATTTTTGTAGTGCTAGAGATTGAGCCTAGGGCCTTCACACGGAGCCACCCCATGCTCCCCCCCTTCTCTTCTTTAGATAGTCTCACTAAGTCACTGGATTGCTGGGCTGAGCTCAAGCTTGCAGCGCTCCCGCCTCAGGCCCCCAGAGTGCTGCGGCCTGTGCTCCTGCGCCCCGAATGCTTGTGTCTTAGCCAGAAAATCCCCCCCAGCGCTAAGCAAGGCCGGTTACTGTCTTACTGACCTAGCTTGAGAGTCGTCCATTAGCATCTTATCTTCTACAACTCATTTGGAAGGTGCCCAAGGATGGGGTCTGTTTGCTGAGGATTTGGAGCCCCGCGGCACCAGGCAGCGGGGCGGGCTCAGAGGCTCCTGGGCAGTTCCAGGGCGCTGCCTGGTTCGCCCCAGCCGCCCCTCATGTCGGTGGCTTTCCTTGCAGCCTTTCGTCATCCACGACATGGAGACGCTGTGCATGGCTGAGAAGACCCTGGTGGCCAAGATGGTGGCCAACGGCATCCAGAACAAGGAGGTCGGGGTCCGCATCTTCCACTGCTGCCAGTGCATGTCGGTGGAGACTGTCACCAACCTCACGGAGTTCGCCAAGGCCATCCCTGGCTTTGCCAACCTGGACTTGAACGACCAGGTCACCCTGCTGAAGTACGGCGTGTACGAGGCCATCTTCACCATGCTGTCCTCAATGATGAACAAGGACGGGATGCTAGTGGCCTGTGGAACTGGCTTCGTCACCCGCGAGTTCCTCAAAACCCTCCGGAAGCCGTTCTGCGACATCATGGAACCGAAGTTCGATTTCGCCATGAAGTTCAATGCCTTGGAGCTGGACGACAGCGACATCTCCCTGTTCGTGGCCGCCATCATCTGCTGCGGGGGTAAGTGGCCGGCCTGCGCTGCTGGTGTCAGGTTGCTCAGGCTTCTCTTAGAACTGTGATCGTCATCCGGTCACGGCCAGCCTGGGCTGTCACCATGATGTGGGCACTGGGAGGAGGGGCACATCCGAGCCCAAGTCAGTGCTGAGGAGAGCTGAGTGGGGGCCGTGGCACTATCGTGTAACTTACAGCACGGCGTGTGCAGGCACGCGTGCACAGCCAGCCAGGTGCACGCGCCACGGGTCCCACCGCTCTGGGCGACAGAGGCAGGAGAATCCAAGTTGAAGCCCAGCCTGGGCAATTTAGCAACTTAGCAAGACTTTACCTCAAATAAAAACTCAGGACATAGGGCCGGGGGTGTGGCTCAGGGCAAAGACCCTGTCTTCATCCCCCAGTACCCCTAAAGAAATACTACCTAAATATATTTATAAGTATTACATATTCCTTTTAATATAATTATACCTGACTTAATTAGCATATTAGATACAATTAGTATTATATGTAACGTTCTCGTGTTAATATTGTAATTATATAGTTATGTTAGAGCAGTACTATAAACCCTATTCCGTGAAGTGGTGCACAGATGTTTGCACAGCTGTTGTCACTATTGGTGACACTGGCGCTGTCTTATAAAGGGCCCTGGCAGCTGCTGGGCAGCGGTCCCACTCTGCTCTACCAGGGCTTCAGGTCGTGGGGAGGAAGCGCTGGGCCTCCCCACAGAGCTGGCTCTGCAGCTCCAGGCTCCTGGCCCAGTGTCACCTTCCTTAAATAGCCCTGTCCCTGGGCTAGGAAAGTCACCTGCCTACTGTAAACCCAGGTGACCTTGCCCAGCCATGGCAGAGTCTAAGGGATGACGACGCGTACCCACCACCAGCCAGAAGCACACTGACCTGACCACTCGCTGTCTGTCCTTCCTGCCACCGGCTGGGCAGAGTGCGGTGGAGGAGGTCCTGCTGGCCTCGTGTGCCTGGTGAAGGCGCAGGGCCACAGCTCACAGCCTGTCACTGTCCTTGCGTAGGATGGGGATATGGCAGTGAGGGCAGGAAGCACCTGCAGAGCTGTTTATGTGTCGTAGATGGCGGCTTGGCTGGAGATGCTCCGAGAGCGCAGCCCTGGTCATGCAGAGACGGCCGCTGAGACAGACAGGAAACCTATTATGCAGGCTTGAAATGACTAGCAGGTTCTTTCCATCTTTAAAAAAAAAAAATCTGTTTAAAACTTCTTGATTAGCCAAATATCATGGCATATGCTGTAATCCCAGCACTCAGGAGGCTGAGGCAGGCAGATCATTGAGAGTTCAAAACCAGCCTGGGCTACAAAGTGAGCTCAAGACCAGCCTGAGCTGCACAGTGAGACCCTGCCTCAGAGACAGAGAGAGAGAGAGAGGAGAAAAAGAGAGAAGAGAGGAGAGAGGGGCTTTGTGGGGGCTGCTCCAAACCTGTATGGTCATGGGCTGGGACCTGTGGTCCGAGCCTGTCCCATGAAGGCCACCTGATGTGCACACCGGCGCTTCTGTTTCATCCTGCTCCTGCTCTAGGGTCCTGGCATTCTGGCCAGCCCGTGTCCACCCCGCCACCTCGCCCTCCATATGGGAAGGCCCTTGGAGCCGTACGTGTGGCGTGCTCCCTCAGTGCAGCAGGGAGCTGCCGCCCCCTACCTGGCCGTGACCCAGGAAGACCTTCCCTTCCTGTGCTCCGGGACACAGATGAAACGTCACCTGGCTCTGGCTAATGTTTGGGTTTTCCTGACAGTGGTGGTCAAACAAATCCAGATGGAGGGCCACACTGCAGTGGGTGCAAAGTGACGCCGTGAATCTAGGAAAGAGTATTTGTCCTTCCCATCCCCGTTGGGTGCAGGACTTGGGAAAATCTGTCCTCGGTGAGGCTCTCAGGCCTGGAAGCTGCTCGGCCTGCTGCAGCTGGGCAGTTCCCGGTACATCTCACGTGCAAACATCTCTTTCTTGTTTTGAGGACAGATCGGCCCGGCCTCCTAAACATAGACTACATCGAGAAAATGCAGGAGGGCATCGTGCATGTGCTCAAGCTCCACTTGCAAAACAACCATCCCGATGACACCTTCCTCTTCCCCAAACTCCTCCAGAAGCTGGCGGACCTACGGCAGCTGGTGACGGAGCACGCGCAGCTGGTGCAGGTCATCAAGACCGAGTCGGATGCCTCGCTGCACCCGCTGCTGCAGGAGATCTACAAGGACATGTACTGAGGCTGGCAGTGTGGGGCAGTGGTAGCCCTGCGGGGACACGGAACGCCGGCACCACTGCAGAGGAGGGATGGGAGCAGCTCGGATCAGCACCCTCGACCTTGGAGATGGGACACTTGTCCCTCAGCAGACTGCATGGCAACCGGCGCTCAAGAGCACAGTTGTGACCACAGAGAGCGCTACTGCTCCGACCCGACCCGGGAGATCAAGGACAATCAGGAGCCAAGGTCAAGTCCAACTCTCCCCATGTGGTCAGGGCAAGTTCTTTATATCAAGCGCGTAATTTGCCATCTAATTAACGGGTAACCTCAAGTCACGCGGCCAGCTCCCTCCCAACCGCCCTGTTCTACTGCTGTATTCCCTCTTGAGGTGGACAGCTAATCAGCACTTTGTAACAACTTTTGTAATCCTGTAAATCTAGACTTAGCCAAAGGGTAGGTATTTAAAATGCAGCGGAATATTTATTTGGATGATATCAGGTCTGTTTCCTGAAGCTGAAGAAACAGTGGGCTGCCTTTTAATCCTAAAACGGAGAATTTTCCAGAACAGTTTGATAAGCCATGAGAAGGTAGCCCTCGTGCTGTCCTTCTCAGTCTGTGGTTTTCGTGGTTCCAGGTAGTTTGTGGCAAAGCCCATCTCCAGGCTCACGTGGAGGGTCCTGGGTGCTTGGTGCCCTCCCCACTACCCTTCCTAATCCCCTTCCCACCCACCCACCCAACCTCCCTTATCCAAAGGACCTGCTCAGCAGCCTCAGGCTACTGTCCAAGTGCCGCGGGACCTGAAGCAGAGCAGACTCTTTCCCTGTCATCCCTGGTCATCGTGAGCTCTTCAGGATGAAGCTAACCTGAGTCCCTTTCCCACCACCAGCTCCCCACACCGAGGAGTCCCCAGGGCTGCGGCCATCCACATGCAGGGCCCAACACCCAGTCTGTCTGTTCCCTCCTCCTGCTCTGACATGCACTAGACAAATGTCATTCAGAGACACATTGCCTAGGAAGGGAGCTGCAAGACCTAGCCTGCCAGGAATGTCGCGATCATCCCGCTTGAGGTTTCATAAAAGGTGTGCACCGTAGCCCCCGCGTTGGTTCGCTCTCCCTGGTAACAGCCAAGCTGACCAGCAAGCTCTGTATTCATCCACCCAGGATTCTTTTAGGGTTTCATAAGGCTATCGGTGATGTCCCCAAGGAAGCCGGGAAAGAGACCGCCATGACTATGCCTTAAAAGTCCTTGGATGTTATTTGCTCTTATTAGGAAGAAAAACTCCGCATCCTGGGCACTCGTGGCCACTCAGTGCTGGAATCCTTTGGGTCACCTATTCAGAGATATCTCAGGGCGTCAGTACTACAAGAGTGCCTCTGTTTGCCACGAGTTGCCGGCCAGCAGCCAGAACAGGAGAGACGTGGCAGCGGGTCGCAGAGGTCCATAACTCATGCAGAGCCCCGTCCTCCAGCAGCGAGTGTAGGAAGCCTCCAGCTCTGTTGGGCCCTTCCTCCTCGCCTTTCGCTACCAAGAGGTGCTAGGCCAGCCCTCTGGCTGGCATGACCTTCTGTGCTAGAGAGCAGGAGGGATGACGCGCTCCCGCCGTGGGCTCGGGGTGCCTTCTCTGCCGTCCGCCGTGAGCCCTGCCACTGCCCCTCTGTGGCCCTCTGGGCTCTGTGCCCGGCACCGCTGGGGCCTTCGCACACAGTGGTCACCCCTGCCAGGTATCTCAACAGGGCTCAGCACACAGCAAAGCGTTGATGCTGAATGATAAGCCAGCCTCCTACGGGCCATGCCCACCGTGTGTGACTGCGGGGGAGTCCAGGGAACCCCAGGACGTGGGCTCATCCAGGAACACCAGGAGACCTGCCTGTCCTAAAGGGATCTTTCCTTCCCCCTCAGATCCGAGAAGGTTCCTCTCAGCTGTGCGGACACCGCTTTCACACTGGGCCTTTGAGACCCTGAAGGACCAAACTACCTTGTGTGCAGCAGCCCGGGAGAGCAGAGCCCCAAGGCAGGCTCTCTGGCTGATGATAAGCAAACTTTAAATTAGCAGCTACTTTCCTTCCCAGCATACCAGCTAACCGTTACCTCAGTCAGCACAGCCAGGGCACTGTGAGAACAAAGGCGAGCAAAAGGCCCCACCCAATTTGCGGGCATCCATCCCTGTGGTCCAGCTGCCACCTGAGGGACGCCGGGACACGCTGCACGCGGGTGATGGTAGCCATGAGCCTTTCCGAAGGACCCCTGCTGCTTAAAAGGAGGCATTTGCTTCAAAGCCCTGCCTCAGGAGAGGGCCTGCCATGCCAGACATCGACCCCGGAGAAGCCACACCCCGGGGTCCTCCACTCAAAGCTCCCCGGCACCCGCTGGTACTCAGGATCTCCCCCCTTTGCAGCACACAGACCTTAGCATCTGCACCAGGACAGGGGATTTTGTCCGATCTGGTGGTCGGGTCAGGGGTCGTGGCCTCACACAGCTTGGAAGGACCTGTTGTACCCAGGTTCCAGACAACCAAACCCGAGCATCTGCGGCCCCAGCGGATGCTGGCCTTTTCTGGTACCTTCCACCCAAGTGGCCTTTCACACTGCAGACCCCAGGCTGTGTCCCACGGCTCAGCACCTAGCCAGAAGGGCTGCTCCCCCTTCTGAGACAGACACACCCAGCCTGAGTGCGGAGGGCCTGCCCTTGCCTGGCCACCTCGCCACCTGTCTGATCTTCCTGGTGACAAGCCAGCTGGCCCACCAGCCACTTGTGCAGCCAACACCCATCACCTGCACTCAACATGGTGGCCTGAAACGAGCGCTCCTGCGGAAGGGTTTCTTCAGAGACTCCCTCAGCTGATGCGGTTGCTCATGCTGCAGTGCCGGCACTCTGGGAAACTGAGGCAGGAGCATTGCAAGTTCAAGTTCAGCCGGGGCAACTGAGAGACTTAACGAGACCCTGTCTCAATTGTTTTTCTTTTTTCTTTTATATTTATTATTATTTTTTAAATTTTTTCTTCTTTAAAGGAACTGGGGATGCAGCTCAGTGCAAAGGCTCTCAGTCGGTTCCCGGTAGCAAAAAAGCAACTCGTGCTGTGGACTCTGGCAAGGCTCTGAGTCATGAATCAAAACTGGTGCCACCAAAGGAGGGGCGTTAGTGTTGACAAGCACCCAGCACTGCTGCATGGCCTCAGCACTGCCAGGCACGGACCAACTCCACTTGTGCGTCTTCCGGAGGCCCTCGAAGGTGGAGGCTGCCAGACAAGCTGTCCTCAGATGTCACCTTCTACAAAGGAAGGGCCATCATTAAATGAAGGGACGTGCCGAGGGACCGAACGAGTGGGGAATCAGTGCCCATTCAGCCACTTCTGCTGTGCTGGCGCCGCTGAAGAGTGTCCCACAAGGGGGCCTGCCACTGCCACTGTGTCATCTGGTGGCCTTTCCTGGGCCATGTTCTGAGAGGCCTGCGGAAGAGATCTCAGTGTGAGCTCCCTGGAGGGTCTGCTGGAATGTATAAATATATATTTAGGTGCCACTTTAATGGGACTCAGGAAAATGGCCATCACCCCATCTATAAAACAGCATACAGCCAGAGCAGAGGCGTGGCCAGACTCAGAACACAGGGACCATGACATCTCTTTAAAACCCACAATCATACTAAAATGTGAAATCAGAAGGGTTGTTAAAAACAGGCAGTGAGCCTCCCTGTGGCTTTAGGTTTAACGACGACACAGTGGTTTCCATCACGCCCCTCTGGTGGGATCAATAGGCTCCTGAACGCTGCTTCAGCGGGGAGAGGGGGGCTGCAGGCCGTGCAGCCCCATGCGGGAGAGTGGTGTGGCCCGCACCCTGCCTTTGGTACCCTGGGCACCCACCTGAGGATGCCTTCCCAGAGCTTGAAGCTGCTATCAGGTGAGCCTGTGTTTCTCAGGATTTCATGACTTTGTGTAATTTCAGGAGACAGGAGAAATGTCGGCAGCTCCTGTCCCCGAGAACGCCCCCTTAGTGAGGAAGGCAGGAGCAGCTAACGGGGTCCTGGCTCCATCTGGCAGAACAGACCCACTGGGTCTGTACTTGGTGTTGGTTCTGAAGACCAACAGACGAGGCCTCCTACTTCAGGGCCCTGGCTGTTAGACCTGTTGTTTGTTAAAAGAAGCAAAAATCCTCCGTGTTCTTCTCTGGGGAAGGAAAAATACTGGCCACTGCCTCTCTTGCCCTTGTCTTCCCCTGCCCAGCCTCCTGTCTGGTTTGCTGAGGGTGGACTGCACAGGCTGGCGTGCAGCAAGCCCAGGCAGGAGCGGAGCGTCCAAAAGCCGGGGCCTCCGAGTGCCTGGCCTGCAGCGGCGCCCCCTCCGCAGTCTCCACCCGAGTTCCATGAGGCTGGGCTGCAGCCGTGGGGATCAGCGCCATGGCTGATTCTTTCCAGTAAATCAATCACTTTTGGAAATTCCCTATTTTAAAGGCACAGTAAGTTCCTTCTCAGGCCTAAACAAGTACCTCACACCACCTAGCGCCCGTTTTGTAGGATCACGTTATTCCTGCTGCTCCTGTCTAGACTGTGGTAAAAAGAACGCGGTGACGAGCTGTGCCTTTAACACTGTGACGTGAGTTTCTAAAAACCACCCTAATACAAGGAGCAGACTAATATGCAGTTATAGCTGAATGTAAATGAGTGTACTTACAAGTCACTGTTGATTGTGCTTTAGCCTGGCTCTTGGACCTACCGGAAACAGGAAGCTAAGCTCCAACAGTGGAAACCCACGCGCGTGTGGGTGCACAGGACCCTGAAACTTGTTGTTTCTCCTGAGCCTTGCAAAACTTACTCTCCTTGTGTAAATCTGCTCCCTCCGCCGCACGCTCTATGCAGGACGTGTGAGCCTGTCCATTCATTTCTACCAGGGAGGCCTTCTTCAACCCCACGTGGCGGTCACAGACTTCACACACTGTCTTCACTGAACCTCTAGCTATCCTGTTCCGTTTGCAGCACCTGTTCTTCAGGGAATCTCGACCTGTGGGTTATCACCAAAGAACTTTGGCAAGTCAGATGTTCTGGTGGAAATCATTTGCAGCCACTGGTTCTCTGGCAGCCCCAGGATGGCCCGGCCCAAAGCCCAGAAACTGCAGGCCCGGTGAGCGGCCCTTCTTCCATTTCCAGTGCACTGGCCAAATTTCCTTTTGGTGTGTCTCAGTCTTTGTGACATCTTCTGGGAACCACCGTGCCACTGTAGTGAGTCCCAGGAGAGGATCGACGTGCGTAAGGAGGCGCACGCTTCCGAAACGAGGGCTGCACCGGGCCCACCGCGTGCCAGGGAAGCTGTCCTCAGGCGCCTTCCGCTCTCGGCCCGAGGAGCGGTGGGCCCTGCTCCCTCAGCACCTGGGGCAGGCTCAGCATTCTCTCCAGCCCCACAGCCTCGGGGGCCAGGGCTGTCCAGGACCTCAGGAATCCTGGGTGTGCCCAGGACAGCAAATGTAATTTCTCTGGTAACATTAATGGATCAGTTCCAAGCAATTAGAAAATGGCTGTAATATAACCTTAATTTAAAAAAAATCTTCGGTCATCTTCATTTCCCTGTTAATGATTTCTATCCTGAATTTATGGGAACTGGTATGTTTGGAATGTCCTACTGTAAGACTGGTGAATGTAAAGAGTTAATTTCAGGGTACAGTTCTGCCTTAATTGGTTTTAAAAATTAAACTATTTTTTAAAATTACCTGTGCATTATGAGTGCTGTTGTGAGAACTGTTTGATGTGCATGACGGAAAAAAAAAAGAGCAGACATTTACAAATGAAACCCAGGACACGCACTTGTAAGAAAAGGCTCTTTATCCATCTCTCACCCAACATGACAGTGACCTCGCTGTGGTCATCAAGTACAATGGAGCAGCTCCTGCCTCAGCAAATGCTGCACGACACACAGTACTCTACACACCCCACAGAGGCCACTGCGCAGGGCCAGGGTCACAGGGACACTGCCGGCTGGAGGACTGAACATCACCAGCGCCAAGGGCTGCGTCAGAGAGGGCGAGAGGGACAGTGAGCTAGGGAGGCCCATGCACTCCTGGCTTAGGGACACAGGACACAGAACAGCTGAGGCCAGCTATGGGGACTGTCCATACCCACCATGACCATCCACCCTGCAGGGACATTGGGTCTCCAAGAGCTGGGTGGAAGAAATGCCTCTCAGAACCTTAGCTGGGTCTCTGAGCTCAAGACTGACATGGTCAGGATTTCAAGGGCGTGAGGCCTCCTGGGAACCACGGGGGTGTCTCCCAAGGGTGTGCAGTGAACCCCTCCCCTCATACCTGCTAGGTGACTGCTGGCACCAATTTCCTTGCAGGGCCACCCCATAGCCCTTGCCCTGCTTCTGTACCTGCCCTGCTATACCCATGGTGACCTTGGCACACAGCTCACCCAGGAGGTGCCAAGGCTGGGCTCCTGGCTGGCCACTCCTGGGGTGCCCAGTCTGCTCGGCCACAGGTCTGCTCCCAGGAATGAGGCTGGCAGCACTGCGGGCTCTGAGCAGGCTCCAAGCTCAGGTCCTGGGACAGGCCCGGCCAGAAGGCCGCGTGGAGGAGGGGGTCTTCCTCTTCTCCAGGTCCTGCCGGATCTCTGCTGGGAAGACGCCAAGGTTCTCCCGGACACAGGGGAGACAGAACCTCTTGGAGTAGAACAGACTGCATTCCTGGAAGCAGGAACAGACGACTAAGGGTGGCACCTCTCCCCCACCCCCCACAGGGGCTGCACAGAGCCCCCAGGGGGCTAAGGGGCTGGCACGATGTCCCAGAAGTCCCAGTGGGAAGAGCCAAAGGCAACAGAGACTCTGGGCCTGCAAGGCGACAATGACAGGGCTGTGCCACAGGCCACCTCCAAAGCTGGATCTCCTAGAGTGCTCCTGTGCCCCCCCTGCAGCCGGGATAGGCATGTGGGCCCCTGGGAGCTGGGGGCAGCAGGCACAAAAGGCAGGGACAGCCTTCCACCCCCACATGTCGACTTGCCTCGTGAGTCCCGTCACTACCACAGCACCAAGCCCACGGCAGTATTTCCCAGCACCCCTTGCAACTGGGAATGGCCATGTAATAGTCTGGTTGTCCTGTTCTGTGGCCTAACCCAGCTTACCCACCGGGCCCACGCACACCAGCCTGCTGCACACGCTGCACCGTGCACCGAGGACCAGGAACCTGTCCCTGTCCGGTGAGAAGGGGTCCTTCATGACGTAGCTCTCCTCCAGGAGGCTGCAGGGACAGGGGCCACAGCTCAGAGACATGCAGCCTGACACTGCAGACCGCCAGGAGCTCGGGTGGGGGGGCAGTGATGTTCAGCCACAGGCCACACAGGGCCTGGGAACCGTCCCCACACTCACAGCCCTGCAGGCCACAGGCAGAGAAAGCCTCCTGGAACCAGACACTGCCCCATGTGAGGACAAAAATGGCAGCCCTCCCAGTAACAAAGGACAAGCTAGCAGTCGCAAAGCAAGCCCAGGGCCACCTGCATACCATGGACGGCTCTGGGCAGACCACAGGAAGGCACACAAGGGCAGTGGGCATAACGGGTGCCCTGCCCAGCACGTGCCACTGACAGGATGGCGCCAGGGCAAGCCCCAGTGGAGGACGCCACCAGGCCGGCCAGGAGGGCCCTCTGCAGGGAGGGGCGGGGCCTGCGAGGGGGCTGCAGCACTACGCCCGCCCGCCGCAGCAGCCTCCCTGGGTCACCATCCAGTCCTGTTTTTTGCTATGGCGATCTAACTCAGAACCTTGCGCTTGCCACTGAGCTATCTCCCTGACCCCACTTCCGCCATCCAAAGCAAAGCTACTCACACAACGGAACGGGTGTTGGGGGGCTTCTGCCCCACGTAGCTGTAGGGCGCCGTCAGGCCACAGAGCTGGCACTCGAACTCTCCCAGGGGATGGCGCTCGGCCTCGGATGCCATCTACACCTACACGATCAGATGACAGTGTCACCTTCAGAAGCACAGGCGCCACCCCAACCTCCCAGCCCGCTCCAACGCACGCGCACGCTCAGAACGCCAGCGCCCCCCCGTGGGCGGGGCCGAGACCACGAGCTGGCCGGGCGCTGGCCGCTGGCGGGGGGACCTCGAGCTTGAGGGGCTCCCCCATCGTACAGCATATTCCCTAACTCCCAAAGAAAGCTGTGGCGGAGCGACACGTGGGCAATCTCACAGTACCTGTGCATTTAAAAATCTGCTTCTGAAGAAGCCACAGTTCAGAGAAGAAATCAGAAAACAGATTGAACTAAACAGAAGCAAGAACATGTAGAATGCAGTTTAAGCCGCACTCGGAGGGAAATTCAGAGCATCAAATGCCTACACTAGCAAAGGCTTAAAACCAGATATCCAGGTGTGGTGGTGCAGGCCTACTACACTCCCAACAAGACTCTGGGAAGCTGAGGCCGGATTGAGCCCACCCACAGCAAGTTACCAACTATCTGTCTCCAATTTAAAAAACAAAAAAACAACAAAAAAAATTTTAAGGGCTAGCGACACACTTCAGTGCAAAGCCCTGGGTTCAGTCCCCAGTACTGAAGAAAGAAATCGTGTGATGATTTCTTAAGAAATTAGAAACGGGAGGCTGGGGAGATAGCTGGACGGCATAAGCACCTGCCGGGCAAGCACAAGGTGCTGTAGTTTGATCCCTGGTACCAAAAAATAAAATAAAACGAAATTAGAAAAAGGCAAATTATCCCCAACATATTTAGAAAAAAGAATATAATAAAAATAGCAAAGATAATCAGACAAAACCAATAAAACCAAAGTTGCTCATGCCAAGAGTTTAGTCAAACTGACCTTTAATTAGGTTGACCAAGAAAAGCACAAAAAGGGCTGGCGAAATAGCTCAGCAGACTAAGCGCCTGCTTCGGCCACCGCAGGGTCTCGGGTTCCACCCCCGCAGCTGTGGCGCTGGCCTGTAATCCCAGCGCTGGGGAGACTAAACACAGGAGGATCACTGAGCCCGAGCTGCGGAGTAAGACCTTGTACCAAATAGATAAATACAAATTTAAAAGAGGAGAAAACCACAAAGATACGAACGACGGACAACTTTCAACCAAAAATTTTTGCCCATTTAGATTAGAGGAGCAGAAATCTTGACAAAAATACCAATTATCAAAAGTGCAGGACATGGTAGCACACGCCCCCAGTCCCAACCCTCAGGAGGCTGCGACAGTAAAATCAGTATGAGTTTAAAGCCAGCCTGGGCTTTCAAGACCAGCCTAGACTAGATTATAAGCCCTTGTCTCAAAATCAAACAAACAAAACAAAAAAATCAACAGTAACTCCAGAAATAGGAAGCCTGAATAGCCCTATATCTACTAAGAAAACTAAATTCATAATTAAAACTTTTCCCAGAAATTAAGTAACTTTTTTCTTTCTCTAAATGGCATGCCTAGGTGGCTTTACTGGCAAATTCTCCCACGCCCTTCAGCAGGACGACTCCTGTACAGCCCTCCGGAACCACTTCCTCTGCGCTAGAAGTCAGGATGCCACAGAACGAGCTCCAGGGCTACCTAAGATGGTAACCCAGGCAGAGCTACCAAGTAACCACAGACCCACGTCCTCACGGGCACAAATACGGAAACCCTAACAGCGGCAGCCAGCTAAATTCAGTCACGTACCAGACGGGCAAGGCCACATGCACCGTGAGTGAACGGATCGGCTCCGGGAACCCAAGGCTGCTTTACCATTTGCCAAGCAGTAGGTACAGTTTGTGCCAGTGACCCAGGACAGGGAGAAAACCGCATCGACTTGAAAAATGCAGAGAAAGCCTGACAAGTTGTGCCCAGCCCGCTGCGTCAGGGCCAAGTGGCTTGGTGACAGACTGCACAGGGAGCTCCCCGCTTTGGCCTGCCAGCCCCACCTAACTCAGTGCCTGCTGCTGCCCCGGCCATGGCTGCGGGGCACTTTCTGTCCTGTAGACCCCGGTACCCTTTATGCCGGGCCTTTGCCTTCCTGTCCCTTCCAAAAAAGACCCCTAACCCCTACCCTCGGGCTCTCTCTGGCTGCAGTCAAGACTTTTATCTTTGGCTTTCAATATATTTCTAAGTTTTTTTTTTTCTTTTTTGTTCTGAAGGTCTTTCTTTAGGCAAATTCCTTAATCTGTAATAGCACTCATTTTTAGAAAATCTGACCACTTCTGCCCCATTTTTATCTCTTTTCTTTGATACTCCATCTGCAAATTGTTGTTCTGCCATTGTATGTTGTCCACAGTTCCTGGATGCTGTTCCGGGGTTTTTACTTGTTGTTTTTGTGTTTTGTTTTGTTTTTTTTTTTTT